CAACAAGTTAATTTACAACAGCACCCACAACTGTTTAATAGGTGTAGGAAGGGCATACTGACGGTGTATTCATAACGTTCGGCAGGCGGAAATAATCAAATGAAATCAAAAGAGAAAGAGTTCAAATTGAAAAATCAAATGGAAAAGTAATGATTAATATAATTATTCATTCAAATTAAAGGTTTGTTTACAGCTACATGGTGTGGCACTACCATGGATCGGGCTCTATGGGGGGGGGGGGGGGGGGGGGGGGGGGCCCAGTATTAATGAGGTTGGGGGGCAGTGCGAGTGGAGTCCAATCTCGTAAAAAGGTCTCTCCTGGCGACAAACAAGAGGGACACAACTGTGAAAATATTCTGTAATGGGTTCAATCTAGATTCATGAGCGTACTTTTGAAAGCAGTTTCGAAGACCAGCTCAATGTGTCTTTAGAGTTTTTATTTTATGTTTCCTGTGCTTTGAATTAAACGCAGTTACGTCCTGTCTTATTTTAGGGAAACCCACCACTACATTCTGCCTCCTACACACCCCTCGAATCACTTCTCCCTAACGCCTCTCTTTCCCTCTCTTTCTCCTATTACTGTCTGGCTGGTCTGGATGTTCTACTGATTCCTACTGATTCTACTGGTTCTACCTGGCTTCTACACCTGTTCTGCTGTTCTGCTGGTTTTACTGGTGAGACAGCTCATGGCCGGAGGAAAACATAAAGGTTAGACTCAGACACAAAAAGACAACCATGTCCTACAGTTCACATTTAAATGAGTGTTTGTTTTGGTATTTCAGAACTGGCGCCTACAGGAGGTAATGGAGTAAAAGTTTAAAGTGCCGTTAAACTGTTCTCGTTACCTATTAAGTACTACATGGTGGCATCGTGGGTGTGTCTGCCGACACACAGCTCCATTCTAGGGTGTTGGGTGGGGTGGGTTGCGCTGTTTGGAGGCAGGAGTTCAACCTCGGGAAGTGTGGGAGACGGAGACTTTTTTGGGTTCATTTCAGCTGCTGCAGCCACGGTGAACGATGATGACATCACAGAATGACATCAACATACAAGTGATGTCAAAAATACATTACGCCTCACCCCAACAACAGCCAAATCAGACGCAAGACGAGGTAATAGCATGTTTTATTGACTTTAATTCTTTCTAGGAGACATTTTGGAAATCTGACAGTGAGAACATTTTTAAACACACAATGATGACATGTTAAGAAAGCATGTTCAATCATACCATAAATACAATGATAAAATCACATGGTTTCTTCAACTTCAACTAAAGACTGTAGTGAGGATATAATTTTAGTTTCTATTTTAGTATGATGATAGTGTGAACTATGTTGTGTTGTCCTGTGTGTGTACCTTCCTGTTTTGCACCCTGCGGTGAATCTGTTAACAGAAGCTCTGTGGTTCCGTCCAGTTTCCTGTTTCCTGATGAAAAACAACTCAGCGTGAACGTTGAATCTGCTCCATGTTTTCACTTGGCAGGGACTGGTTAATTGGTAAATAAAGACATCAATGCTCAATAAATAACTGGCGAGATTTACATGTGGTCTGTACATCTGCTTACATTATGTGTAATGTGGTTTCACTCAAACACTATTATGTGAGTCTGTTTACTTCACGTGAACGTGAATAACTGCAATATGCATTATAATCTGCATAATCCATTGATCATCAGATTTTGTATCCTTACTATTGTACAATCAAATTGGTTTGGGTGAGCATGGTTTGGAGTTGTGGGGTGCTTAGAGGAGTGAAGGGAGTGGGAGAGTAGAGATGGGGTGGAGGTGAGAGGGTAACATAAGTTAATATAATGGTTACAGTTTGGGGTGTGACAGGTATGAGAGCTGTTCTGGCCTGCGCACGTGGGTTGGTGTTGTTTGGTCCTTTTTCAAATTTCGACGAGGCAAAAAGCTTGTTGAAATGGAGCTGCTAGTGGCACAGAGGAAGGAGACAATAAGTCGACCTGGTGACAGCAGTTAAGGAGATGTAACGGTATGAAAAATGTTAACCCTTCACGGTTATAGTGGCAAAAATTATCACGGTTCGGTATTTGGATCGGCGGTGTTTTTGGAAAGTGTGTTCGCGATGGGATAGTTCGAGAAGCACTGATAGGCACAACCACAAAGCTGAAATTAGGTTTCAAAAGTGTAACAGTGTGTTATTATAGTTGACAGAACCTTATTCAAAAAGCATCAACAATGTAAGCAAACTATCTGTCAAGGTCACTGTGCCGCTCAGCGATTCTTATTAGAGGGTATAAAAAAAATGCACAGGTGTCAACAAGCATGGTGGCCAATATAAAACACACCAAGTTCATACAATAAACATCTGGGATGGAATTTCAAGCCTGCCAGTGGGGCGCGGTGAGCAACAAACCTTGTCGTGATTAGAATTGGGGTACGGACGGTGGCCACACTAACAACAACACATAAGCAAGAGCAGGTAGCAGAACCAGTGTTAAGACAGCACCTTCAACCTTAAGAAGCAAATAATCATCCACTTCATGGCAGTACAATATCACCGTCAACATGCCCGTATATCTCCATCAGGACAACTCTTCCTCATGCCCATGTATCATATGCCCCTATGTAGTCTGCAACGAGCTGGTATGGCGATCAGATTCAGATCTTCAGAGTATGTGGGGTTGACTGAACAAGAAGTTGAGGACCCTGTCCATTTAGAGTCTACACTTATCGAAGTGCAAAAGGGAAGAGTGGACAATCGTTTGCTCAATTTCTTACTGATCTTTTTACTTTTTACACTGCTAAGTGTTTTGTATTAGGTTTTTAAGATCCGCCATTGTACGTTTAGCTTCACACCTTCTCTTTCAGTACATACTCTCTTCAGTACGACGAAGAGCGTCGTGCTAGTTAGGATAGCATTTGTTTTCTTACACAGCTGATCACACACAAGATAGTATAAACAACAGACACACCATATTCTCCTGTGCTTGCGCGAGCTACCAATACCACTACAAACAACCTCGAGCGTGGGAGGAAGAGAGATCTCGAACGGCTGGAACAGCGGGACGGCTGACGATCTGCTCTAGTTTCACAATGACTCGGCCGTTTATTTCACTTATGCTGAAGGGAAAGCCAAGGGGTCTACACAGCTACGACCTCGTCTAAATGTTGTGGATCCAGATTGATTTATCTAAGGGGACACTTAAGCGGGACGTGCGTCTTACTGTGACGACTGGTCCCATATTCCGATTGCCACTGGAACTCTGCATGAACGCTATAGTTACTACTGCAAGAGAACAGAACAGGCACCAACGGAACCCACCACGAGAGATACAGCGTAGAAGTTGGTCGTTTGACCCGAGACAAGTGACTGACCTCTACCACCACAAGCCAACGTGTCATCGCACAAAACCCAGCAACGTACAGCCAACTCGTCTCGGTATACCAATATTACTGAGGACGTGCATATGAAACCTTCTTTGCTGTGAAAGGCAAACTCGAGGCACTGTGTCTCAACACAAATCGCGCGTCAAGAGGCACAATAAAGCTTATTTATTTGCATTCGTATTCCTATTTAGTGAGAGAGAGTTAGCAGCCTGTGAGCTGCGCATCAGACACACAGTCTACCTGCTTCCAAAATTTACTTTATGCACCAAGAAACTCAAAGGTTATGTCAACGTTGAGTTTAGTGATTTACTGATTTATCAACTGGCTATTAAGGTATCATACTTACCTGCTGAGGCCACCTCCGCAGCGGTGAGTGAAGCAGCAAAAACGATGAATCCCTTACGGTCTCCTCCATTATGCCCATTAAAATCAGTGTGTGTGATGGAAGATTGTACCCTGTATGGTAATAAAGATAATACCACCCTGCAGGTTCACACCAACATACCTCTGCTTAGGTAGAGCAGGAGGACGTAACTATAGAATACTGATTGGATATTAAAGTCAGGAGGAGGAGTGTTAAATATGGGATGTGCTGAAAGAGGGAGATGTATTTGTTTAAAAAAACAACTTCACTTTATGTGGTCCTTTGACTTGACTTTGTACAGTAATGTCCAGTAAAACCACATGAAACAATATGTGTGGTCATTTTGAGCAGGGATCCATCCATCGTGTAGTCGTGAGGGTCCACCCTCAAGTAATCTTTATGTTTACATTATTATAATTACAAGATTTATTTTGAAAAAACCCACACAGGTCGTGGAAGTCTGCTCACTCTTTAAGCACCAATGGGCCTGGGGGTGCCTGAAGCTGTAAGCACTGAGGGGTCCAGGAGCCCTGGTGGTGTGCACACATTTTAAACACCAAGGGACTCAGGGGACCTCACCTTGTAGGCGCTGAGTACTTAGTTCTCGCTGCTTATATGAAAAGTGCTTTACAAATACAGTATTATTGACTGATTGATTGATAGGTGGATAAAAGCACCCAGGGGCCAAGTGGTCAGTTTGCGCACTGAGGGCGTTCAGCTTCCTTTGGAGGTCTTGGTCCACTTGTCAGACACAAATAAAGCCTTGGAGGCCTCCGGCAGTCTGAGGCCCTGTGGTGTATTGTGTAACTTCTTGTACAATCTGCTTTCGTTTTCCAAGAAGCAGCCACACCTTACAGGTATTATAAATACTGGAAACAGAAATTAAATAACACACAACTGATGCACTTTATCATGAACACATCACAGTAAGGTGTCCCACCTACAGTAAATAGTTTAACTGCAAAATTATCACAGAATATATCAGTTCATATATTACGAGTAGTAATGAATTTCATTTGGATTATTCTGCTGTTTGTGTGTTTTTGTTAGATGGATGCAATATTCCACCACAGACTGCAGTCTCACTACAGCGACTTTTGTGATGTTGGTGTGAAAGATGAAAGAGATTTCTTTGATTTCACGGATGAAGACTTGAACGCCATTGGTAATTGATGTTATGATTAATTTGTTTAAAACTATATGGGAAATTTCAAGTAGGCTAATAGTCCAAATGGAAAACAATTAGTTCAATTTCTACATATTGACATGAGGAAAAAAGGTTGTTAGAAGAGCAGATATGCATATTTAAATTATGCTGATCATACGTACTTCCAAACAGGATTAAGCCAGGTGGAAAATAATCGTTTTTCTACCATGAGAAACTCCATTCGCAGACTCAGAGCTCTTGCAAACTCAGCTGCAATGTCTGTGAAAAAGTCAATGGAGTCATTCTGTCTGCAGTACACGTACCCCAAATGTCCTGAACCAAAATACATCAAAGGTAAGAAATTTGTGTAATGTATTGGATTTATTTGAACCCTCTTTTCAACAGAACTCATACAGTAGGTTACAGTTGAAGAAAGACACACGATCGTATTGTGTACAGAGAAAATAGAAAGAAAATAAAAACTAATTAGAAGCAGGGAATTGCAGGAACACCTGCAATTGTGATGATTACATTACATTACATCAGTGCCTGAAATAGACTGGCGATCAGTGGTCAGTTAGGGACAGTTTATTTACATACATATGCTGAATGCATAAATTAGCTTTCATCCTTGATGTTTTTTTTCCTTGTATAAAAGTACAATAAAGCAATAAAGTAACAAAGCAATAATGTAATAAGGCAATAAAGTAATAAGGCAATAAAGTAATAAAGCAATAAAGCATTTTGACAGATCAATGATCAAACTGAAGGCTGTGTATGCGGATGTAACAAGAGACCTTCCCATTTTTTATTTTTTGCTCATCCAGCAAATATGAACAATCAATATTTTTTAGTTTGCTGCAGTTCTGTGGTTGGCTCCTGGGATAAATGTACTGTAACAGCTCCTGTAACACATCTACCTTATGTTTATTTCCCCATTACACAGCAGACAGACATTTTGAGATAAAGTCTATCACTGGCTTGCAAGTCATAGTTGTTCTCTGCTGGACCTTAATTGGCGGGCACGGCCGGGGCAGCTGGCATCCAACTTAAAGGTGCACCTACCGTACTGGAGTGTGAAACAGTAGATTAGCAGGGGGAAAAAAACAGGTGATGACTGCGTGGCGGGTGGTGGGCCGCCGGCCGTCCTGGAGTACCGGCCGTTCTGTGATTCTCCAGATCACACAGATGGCCAGTCCACCCCTGACCTCTGGTAAGCAACCACGACTGAGATCACAGACATCTGGACCTTTACAATACAAACCGTGAAATAAATACCTAAAAGTAACTACAAAACCATCTTAGCAAGTTCTGCTTTTTGACCTCGGTATTCTTAAAATGCTGTGTACAGCAATACTTGTGAGGTACTCCTACACACCTGTAACTGCTTCTCTGTATAAACACATCGCTAGCTTAACACTAAGAAAATAGCACTGACAATGGCCTTGTTAAAATTGATTAAAAAAAAGCATAGTCAGTTAGGGTTATGTTTTATTTAGGGTTAGCGTTGTGCTGAATCAGACTTCTTCTGATCAAGGGGCAGCTGTCGCTCAGAGGGTTGCTGGTTTGATCCCCGGCTCCTCTTGCTGAAGTGTCCTTGAGAGAGATACTGAACCCCAAATTGTTGGCAGTTGGCACCTGCTGCTGCCATCAGTGTATGAATGTATGCAGATGGGTGAGTGTGGCATGTAGTGTACAGCGCTTTGAGCGGTTGAAAGACTAGAAAGGTATATAAGTACAGTCCATTTACATTAAAACCTAGTGAGTCAACAACTTTTCTAAAACAGCAAAACATCAATCAAGTGCAAAAACACAAGACCTAGTAAGCAGTTCATTTTATTTACTACTCCAACAGCAAGAAGGCCAGCTTCCTTATCTTCTAAATATCAGATTTTTATCATTAAAATTTGGGATTTGCTAATGTATTTTTGTAAGAAATACAAGATTTAAGACTAGTAATTGCAAGAGCATCAGAGGTCAATAAAAAATGTCTTTAGGTTGCACTGCTGCTCATTCTCATTTACAGGGACTGTAGTTAACCAAGTAAATATTGTTAATGTTATTAGATGCTAAACTGAACTTGACATGACCTATAATTTCTTGAGTTTCTGGTTTCCAATAAATGTGTATTATGTTTCTGAACTGCTGAATTGTTCACTACAGTGGCAAACCCAATTTTGTGTATCTAATTTAGTTGTCTGTCTGACATCGTTTGAAAAAGAAATACATATTTCTAATTTTCTTTATTAATCCCCCAAAGGGAATTGGGTCGTCATAGCAGCCAGGTACTGACCGAGGGAAGCAATTCATTAAACTTCAGCGAGAAACACTGTCATAGTCTAAAATAACCAAGCAATATTTCCAGAAATCTGCCAAAAACCTTGACTGATTATGAGAACAATGTTAGTAAGAAAATCAACCTGAACTAATGAAAGTGAGAGAAGACAAGAAATAACCAGGAGTCAGACAGGGAAACCAACGAGTCAATCAGCATACAGACAGTCGGCAGTCTTCCTTCTCAATCTGGTGAAACGCCTGAAAGTCACTTGTCAATGGTGACCGTGGAATATTTAAAGTTGTTACAGATTAACACATAACGAACATATGTTTACTGTAAATAAGTATGTGTATTTACTTCCTGTACAGTTTGTGTGTTGCTGTAACACGAAGCTTCCGGCGGCTCTAAGCTCTGCATGTGAATTGCGAGCTCTGACTTCCAGGTTGGGCTGAACATGCGAGGTTGCAGAGACGGATCCTGCTGCCATAACGGGATTCTTGAAATAGTTCGTCTGTCTGACCGAAACCTGTGTGACTGACCTAAAGTTCCTAACAATTGCAATAAATATTTGATTTAATTTTGACATTGATTTTCATTGGGCATTGGAGTTCTTTAAGGGAATAATTTAATTGTACAATAGCCTATTAACAAACAACCCTTGACTCAATGATATAAAACAAAGAATTTAAAACATTGGTAGGAAAATCTAACTACCCTTCAGCTGCTCACGCGTCAACTCTCTGTGACTTATAGAGTATCAAGAGGACACTGATGGAGGA